GTACTAAAGTCCTGCTCTGTATTTAGGAAGGTCACGTTAGCGAAGAGGAGGTGGAAGCCCTCTCTCTGAGGATGGGTTGAGCAAATTTGTAATACATTCCAACCCAATGTTTGCCTCGTACTACAGCTGACGTCTTCCACTACTTGTAAATCCATCAGGAAAAGAACTTTAGAGGAGATTAACATATTCACAAATTCATGTGGAAAAATTTCAATTAAAACTGAGGGCAATCCTTTTTACATATTGAAATGTTTAGTTCTGATATTCTTAATGATGAATTTAACTTTGGAAATGCCAATCTTTCTTTGAGGGGGGGCAGATTTTTTTTTTTTCTCTACTTCATTTCTTTCAGCATGGACTTTGTTGTTTAAAAAAGTGATCTCGGTTTCAATAGGCTTTTATCACTACAGAGAAAAATAAACATTCCCATCAAGTGTAACACTTGGGTTAACCCAAAATGCTCTGCTTTGCTTTTCCAGTTTTGATAAGAAACCTGGAAGATTTCTGTCTTTTTCTGATCTGGACTCATACTCTGTGTCCAGTGAATCTAAAGAGGAACATAATTCCACAATGACTATGCTGTCTTCCTGATTTTAAGCATAATGTTTTACTTACGTGTGATGTTCTGCTTCAGACTAAGGTATTTATTCAAGTTTTGGCTTCCTAGCTATCATCTTCTGTAATAGCATGAGACAAATAAACAGCGTAAGGCTGCACCAAGCAGTGCCTTAGTGTACAGCAGGTCCTATTAAAATGAAGTTGGTGTAAAGACTCTGCTGGTGGGTTTATACTGTCTCTGTGGACACCCTCAAGCCTGCAATAAGGTCAGAGGTATTGCCCAAGCAGAACCCACGAGGAAGCTGTATGCACACTAGGACAAGATAAAGATTATGGACAAATAGGCTTTTGAAGTGCAAAATAATTGGGTTTGATAAGCAGAAAGTGAATCTTTACCACATCCCAGTATACACACAGAGCAGCTAGTGTGGAAGCAAAGTGGATTCAGTTTTAGCAATCTGCTTATTGCTGGGCATGATTGAGCTGCTCTGACTTTACAGCACCCGTCAGAGTGCGAGTCTGGCCCCGCGGCCGCTGCGTCTGCACAGGGAAGGTGGAGAAGGGGCTGCAGGGACTGCGCTGTCAGCAGTGGCATAGGGCACCCTGGGTACGGAGCAGTCCGGGAGGAGCAGATTCACGCAGCCGGGCAAGGATTTGCAAAACAGACGGGGGACAAGAGCCAGGGGTCAGAAGAGCTTAGGAGCCTGCTGAGGTCTGGTGTTTGGGGGGGGTATTCCTGAGTGCTGCTTGTTTTGGTGTGTGAGACTGGGAAAGGATTCTCCTCCCACCCAAAGTGGTTGTTGAACCCGTCCACAGGCACAGTCTGGGTTTGCTTTTAGAGACAGAAATGCTTTCAGCTTAAAAAGCCATATAGTCTTTCTTTAAATATGTGCCTGCCCTTCTGAGGGTCCAGTCCTTCTTCCATACAGACTGCTTGCTCTTTTTGGACATTATGCATTGGCCCAACATTGAAAGGTATTACAGAGAATATGAATCAAGAGTAAACTTACGAAAAAAGTGGCAGAACTGGGTACATTTTGGACATAAAGCCAGCAGACGTAAGGAGCTGAGTACATAGAGGACATTCCTCAGAAAAAAAAAGCCTTCAAGCTACATAGGAAAAACAACAGTTGTCACTGTAGCCACATATTTTTGTGCAACTGGGACCTGAAGAGAAAACAAGAGTTTGGGTCTTTGAGCAAAAAAGCAAACATGAGAACATGCAGCACTCACTCTATCAACTGCCTGAGCAACCCTGAGGGATGTTTGAGTAGGACAAACATTAATGTTTCCCCAAAACACACTGAAATTCTCTTAAACTTGGCATCTCGGTGACAGGACATAATTCTGCGCCGTGAGCGCTCTCTCTGTAGCCGCTGGCCTTGTGCTTTCACCTACCTGTACATGGGGGTCCCCTACTTTCGGTCCATCCTGGCCCCCACTGGAAGCTTACCCAGTTCATCTGGACTGTGTTTGGACACTACGTCCTTCCCTGGGAGGTTTGCCTCCTGCGTGAGTACAGATGACATCGAGACTGGGGAGTAGCCATGGTGCTTGATGAACCAGCAGTTTGGGCTCTTGCTCCCCATGGAGATCAGGCTGTGGTGGGGGCTAATGGCTGGCCAAGTTTCATCCCAGCACAGAAGTAGGACATGGGCAAGATGGGAACCTGGGAGTGAGGAGCTGCTCCTGCCTCCCAGATAGGGACACAAGAGTGACTGAACAGCCCTCCCAGAGTAACAGAAATTTTTTCTCCAGCTCTTAAACCAACAAGAGGATGAACCTTCCCAGGTCCACACAGACAACTCCTTTACAGAAAGGCAGCCTGGCTGCTGATGGCACCACGAGGTCTCTCCTTTCTTTAGGTATCCCCTCAATTCCCTGTGTCTCAGTCCGGATCTTGCTTCCATGCTTTCTTCCCTGTCTTGGGAGAGGATTTATTTTTAAGAGTTTCATATTTACAGCTCACTTAACCCTCCTCCTCCCTGCTTCATGTCCCAGAGTAGTTTTATAGATTGGCTAGAGAAGAGGCAAAATCCTCAAAGCCAGTGCCAGAGGCACTGTCCCTTAATCGCTCCCAAGCACAAGCTGGGAGGAGAAGATGGTTGAGCCGTGCTCTCTGCCCGCATTCCCACACACCAGTGCCCAGAGAGACCCCGGCAGCCTCAGCAAGGATCAGAGGTGCTCCAGATGCACCACGCGTGGCCGTCAGCACCAGCGGCCGCACAAGGTCTGGCTCTCTGCGGCCGTCGACGGCTGCAGTGCCGCGTCTGCTCCAGGGAACGCTCTGATCATATTTTGTGGCTTTTGAGTTTTCCTTTTTCCTACTTCATGTGGTCGCGTGAGGCAATGACAGCCAGAGCAGCCGTCCCCACGTCTCTTCCTTGTGCCATCCCCCTGAGACAAACCCACTGCGTTTCCCCGGGCCAGCGCCAAGGCAGCGACAGAAACCCTGGAACAAGGCGAGGGGTCTCCCTGCCCACAGGACACCACCAACAGAGAGTCTGAACCAACTGCTGTAGCTAATCTGCACCTCGCAGTTGATTTTATTAAGCACGGAAGGGGTACAAGAGGAAAAAAAACTCCTCTCGAGGTCTTCCTCCTTGTTGCCCCACTTCATCTGCCTATCACCACCTTCCCCATCTCTGCTGCGGATGTCACTGAGCACAAAGTCTGCGTCTCTGAGGCACCATGGTTATGGCCCAGGTGGGGAAGGGTGGAGGTTATCTCAGCCGTGCATGCACAGGAGTCCTACACCACTGTATACAGGGCGAGATCCTTTGCACTGAGTTAGAACAGCCCAAGGGCTGCTCTGGTTTACACACCCCAACGCTTATGAATTCACTAATGGCAGCCCCGAGGAGCTGAAGCTGCAGGTCAGGCTTGTACCATTAAATCCCTTTCCTCCAGCCACCCGTCCGATTCCCTACTACATTGCTAACAACATGCAAAACTGATATCAGAGCACCTATGCCAGGTCTCTTGGCAAGCCTTGGTGCTGGGGGAGACCGCAAGTTTGCACAGAAAGAATTGGCTTCGCTGGGATGGGAAACCACCCAGGCAGCAGCGCAGACTTCTTCAGCTGAGGCCCTTTCCCTCAGTTGCCATCATGTTCACTGGGGAAAACCATGACTCAGCCGGTCTAGTTTAGGTACCTGCTTGGCAGCAAGAAGAGTCACATCCAAGAAGTTGCTACTTCTCTCTTCCCTATACTAGCTACCCTGCAGATTTTCCTTCAGGGCTGACAGCAATTTGGTTAGTAGACAGCAATGCATTTAACCAGAGAATATCAACAACCTCCTTAATTCACTCAGAGACGTGCACGCCACCGACGTACGGACATTTTGCAGGACTGTATTACAGTTGTCAGTTCACAGATTTAGACTAGCTCTGCTGCTGTTGGTATGAATTTCCCTTCATCTTAATGAATCAAATATGTCCTATAACTCAGAATTATTTTTCATTTGTACTAATACCACACAAACCTTTCATTTCCTAGTCAATTCAGTTTATGAATGGAAAGTATGCAGGCCACAACTTTTTACAGTGCTCTATAGAAAGAGCTGCTTTCAGGCACAATTATTACATGATGATGTTCTGAAAAACAAGGTCACAAAACCAATATAACACTGTATTTGCTTGGGAGGACAGAGTACAGAGCTGTGTGTGTTGCAACACAACCATCCCGAATTGCAAGGATTTCGTGCTTTTTAAACAGCATCCATGACATCTGGGAAATATTTCTGCAAGAATAAATAGGCACACAATGTCCTGAAAGGTAAATGGCTCCTTGTTTCCCCAAGAGCTTTCCAAATCAGTCAGTGCAAGTTGCTGAGTCCCTTTGGTGTAAACAAAGTGCTGTCATTTTGATGCTGTTTTGTAGGTATCCTCTACCCACTCCGTAGAAGTACCACTGGTGGGAAGATGGTGAGCTTATTTATATCAGATTTACTGAGGTGAACAAGGGCTAAGGGGATGGTAGCTGCCCCCAGTAGAAATACTTCATGCAACATGTGCACTATGAGTCACATGGCTCACATGCAGGTTATATTTGCCTTTCTATACGTATACACATATACATACACATACATACTCATATGTCAATCTCAGGTTATGGCCCAATTCTCTTCTGTCTCTTACTCAAGCACTTACAGTGGAATATTTCCTTCCTAAATGGAGAAAATGTGGGTTTTTTCCACCCTCATATCAGTTCAAAATAGAGGTTTTAATTTAAAAGTTTGAAATTAAATTTTAACTTAAAAAGGCTACTTCTGTTCCAAGATTTTAAGGGATTTTTAACCCCAGAAAAGAAATGTATGCTGCTTTCCCCCTTTATGGCAATGAAATGGAATCACAAACATGACCACAAACACCCTGAGCAAATGCTGCTGCAATGCAAAAATGTAAAGACTTGGTCAGGTCTCCTGAAGGAAAATATTTACCTCAAATGTGCGCAGAACTTTAGCCAATGCCCCAACTTCTTCTTTCAGAGAGAAAATCAAAGAAATCACACCACTTTTGTTTGAGGACTCTTCAATGTACATGGATTCCTGAAAGAAAAGAAAACAAACACGCAAACCATTTACATTCACCCTAGGAGTCAGTTTTTCTTTACTCCATTTCCCTTTTGCACGGCATCAGCAATGTAAAGAGGGTAGGAAGTTACTTTAAGTGGGAACCAAGGCAACTGTTGCTGCCAGAAGTAGAGCAGCTCTGGGGCTGCTCTGATTTATGATGGTAGAGCCACAAATCCCTTCTTTCAAACTAGGACCCATGTAGGAGCGAGGTAGTCAAAAAGGACATGAAAATAGTCTAATATCGTCTCTGCTTTGCTTCACCTCTCAAGTGTACCAAGCTCACGGATGACTGGAAACATTTCTGCACTTTGGTTTCAGCTACAGTGCAAAGACCTTCCCTCAGGCTTTCTTTTCATTAACACTCAGGATTAAGCAGAGCAATGTAGATGAGCTCTGTGCAGAGATGCTGGCCACAATCTACGTTTCCTTTCAGTTCTGCTTGTACCTTCCAGGTAGCCGCAGGAGAGGTGGTATTCACAAGAGGGATATGGAAGGTGGTTTAAAAACAAAATAACAACAAAAAAAAAAAAAAAAGGAAGAATGTTGGAGCAAATATTTGGATCTTCCCTAAATCCCACAGTGAGTAAAGGCTCAGTTAGGGCAAGAAGTGTTTTCGTTTATGTTTGTTCCCTTTCTCTTATTGGTCTTCTGCTCTGCAAATTCCAAAAGGCAAATTCCAGTATTCCCAGGCAAGGAGAATGTTTATTTTAATTGTTTTCGTGGTTCTCATTACCAGAATGCCTTGGTATGTCTCAGTACATGTGTTTCTTTTCACAAAACCCGTGTTAAGTAGGGAAGAGCTATTTCACCATTTCAGAAACAGGAAACTGAGTCCTAAAGTGCGGCCAGATTTTCAAAATTATCTGGGTACCTGACATGGCAGGTAAGTGCCCGCTGACATTTCCAGAATCAATTGATTTTTCTGATGTCACAGTAAGTCAGGTGCACAACCATCACAAACTTTTGGAAGTCACATTAATGCCTTATTGGTTGGGGTTTCTTTAACGACTACCGGCCTTGGGCAAATTGCCCCTGGTTGGTATTTCAAAGGTCACACCAGAGGGCTGCAACACAGACCTACTGATGTAACAAGTCCTGGGCCAAAACTTGATTCAAGGCATCCATTCAATTTTTGTATCTGTATTTTCAGTCAGACCCTGTCCTCATTATAGCTATTGCTTGATTTAACATATAAATCAGAGTATAAAGAATCTCAGTTCCCAAATATTGTCCTCAGAAAAGACAGTCTTTGTAGCAGACAAATTAATAATCAAATCCAGCTGCCCTGAAGCCATAAAGTTCTTGGTGGGGCTACATTTTCTGAGGCAGTGTCTTAAGGAATGGCCTTCCCTTGTAATGTAAATAATTGTTGATTCTTCAGGCCATCTGAGGCTGCTGCTAACCTGAGAATTCTTTGTCAGAGACTGGCAACAGGGAGACTGGCTTTATTTCCAGTGATTGCAAAGGTTATCCAAAAGTTTTCCACCTTTATGGGGAACCTCCAGCAGGAACTGTAGTGGAAATACTAGTTTTACGCACCAGAAGGAAGATTGTCAACCTGTTCAACTGTGACACTTCCCGCAGCATCTCTGGGTCTCCTGCGTTCTCACCCAGCCAGGGAGCCAGCCCAGCTCTTACTTGATGGGGTCCAAGAGGAAAAGCAATCAGATGTAATGTAGCAACTGGCTAATGAAACCCATTAACAGCTCAAGCAACCACAAGGGAAAACAATGACAGGAGTCTGTCAAAAGGCAAACCAAACATCAGTAGTCCTGAAATTTTATGAGAGTGTAACCAAAACTGTCATCTGAAATACTGTCCATGCATTGCTTTGACCTTCTGCTTTCCCCCACCACAACCAAAAGTGATCTTAAGGACAGAACTGTGCTACACCAGTGTCTGCCCGATGGACCGAGAATTTTTCGTAGTCTGCACCAAACTGTTTTAAATGCCATGCAGTTATGTTTTCAAAATACCATTGCCAAGGCATGCTGCGCGGACAAACTTCTGTGGCAGGTTGGCTTGAATCCACCTGACAAAGGAAGACTGTGTGGTTTGGACACCTTCAGGGAATATAATGCAAGGTTCAAGTCCTGCAAGGTAATTCTGATGTTAATTGATCTCTTTATACCATGCAAACACCCAAAAATGCCTTAAAAAACCTTCTTTCCAACCCAGACAGATTGTCATCGGTCACTAGCCTTGATGTGTTGAGATCAGTCACTTTCAATCTGTCCTCACTCATTTTCCCACTCTAGTAAATTGATTTATGTTGATGCTTAAAAGTTACACATGTTGCAGTAGGGAGTAGGCACTAAGCCTGCAATAGAGTGATACTTGCTTAACTCCTTGCACATCTGCATATGCACTTAGTTCACTGGAAGATCTCTGTACAAACGTTAGTTCGTGCCTGAGCCTGTCCATAGAGATGACAGCTTTCATTGCAAGGGGAAAGAAGAGTAAAATGACTGCTTTCCTGGTACCCAGTTCTTATCAACATATATGGAGACAATATACGTCAATACACACTGGAGATAATATACATCAACATATACACTGGAGGCAATATACATCAACATACACACAGGCACTCACATCTATTGCTGAGCTTTTTGCAGTACCTATGCATAGTTTTAACTATTGATCACAGTTTATCCATTCTCAATTCTAATTTCTTGCTTTTTAACATATAGAGAGGAATTGCAACTTTGGGGTAGTTCTACTGTTCTATTACTACTGTGATTATGATTAAGAGTTGAACAAATTGTTTCACTGTCATTGAAATATTGCCTATATGACATGTATACATGATTTATAAATGTAGCGTGGAATAAATTAAAGCTCTAATTTTCTTCCAGCTCCTTTTTTTTTCAGGAAGTAAAATAAGTACCAGTTGATGAACATGAACATCCATTCCTAGACCTAGTACAGTCTCAATGATAGGTGAGATATAGATACAAGGATGGGTTTACCTGAGCGCAGTGCAAATCTGCATTTTTAGTCAACCACTTCACATACAGATTAACATTGCCTTTCTGACACATGTGGCAGCATTGGAGGTCAATAAAACAGACCTGTCAGCCTTCTAATCCATTTCTGAGCTGGTTAGATAAAGCCCTTCAGAATGAATTCCAACATTGTTAAAGCCAGAGCAAGCTTTGCTTGCAGTTTCAATGAGAGAAAAAATTCACCGCTGTGCCATAAATTCTAGACTTACTAGATATACAAAATAGTAGGAAAAAAATGGGAAGAATATTTCAAAGGAAGTAAGATTCCCAAGTTACTTCTGAAACTGGAGCTAGTTTCCAAGTCAGACTTCTTAAGGCATTTAGATGCTCGGCTCCCATAGATGCCATTGAGACCAAGCAATTATAGAACTTGGAAAAGCAGCAAGGTGAGACCCTAGAGAATTGTTGCGGGAGTTCAGACTCAGCACACAAAGCAGTAGGAAACCAGGCTGCTTCAGCTGCTCCGCTCTTAAAAAGGCATGTAGAAACTGCAGCCCTTTTTTGCACATCTTCTGCAGCTTGTCTCTGGGTTCAGCAGCATCGCCTAGGACACGTACATGCAGAGTTCGGTCCTAATAATTAACCAAGCTGACCTCAGGTTATGTCACTGCCCATGCAGTAACTATAGTGCCTGTAATGGAAAGGCATGGGCTTCAGAACTTTACTGTATTTCTCAAAGCAAAGGGTTCAAAATAAGTCAGTAAACATTAAAAAAGGGGACATCGGAGTCCCAAAGTTTGACAAATAGCTCCCAGAAGAGCACATAACTTCATCTGCTTTCCTTTAACAGAAGAAGACAGCTTGCTTTCATCACACAGGCTCAAGACCTCTAATTAGCTGCTGGTCTTTGCTGCTGCTTCTTCTCTCTGCCATATATGCAAGGATACTATCGCAATGTTCATTTTCGTTCTCATTGCACTTTTGCGAGCACAATTAACAACAGACAAGCGTGCTGGCTGCCAAAAGGGAGAACGGTGGCAACCAGGCAAAGCATTGAGACGGGTGCGTTGTTTCCTCCCATCCCGGGACACGCTGCCTCTCGGAGAGCGGGGAACAAGATTTGCAAGGGGGGGGGGGGGGCAGGAGGGAGGCAGTCACAGCTCCCCCCCTGCAAAGAGTGGGCACACAGACCCCATCGCTTACCTGGAAAGGGTCGCCATTCATTTTGCAGTGCTGCGCATCCATGTTGCAGAAGCAGTGATGCCCACGCAGGGAGGCCCCTCGGTCGCTGCAGGTGAAGCCTTCTGACCTTGCTGCAGCGGCCAGAGCTCTGCGCAAAGGTATTTAAAGTGGAGCGAGCAAGGCAAAGCCATCCCCTTCCCCCCAGTTCCCCAGTTCCCTCCCCTGGACACCGTGCCAACGGGGCGTTCTCCCTACACCCCCCCCCCCCCCACCCCTGGCACGCGGACAAGCCGCTCCACGCCGGCCGGCCCCTGCAAGTCCCACCCCGGCACGTAGCTGCTTTCCAGCATATTGTTTCTATCTGTGCCCAACGTGGACGAGCGGCATGCTTTGAATTAACAGCCTCCCTCCTCCCGATCAACATCAGCCGCTGTTTCCATTTTTGCACGTCAACGCGTCATCTGTGGTTCAGGCACCCCCCCCATCCCTTCCCACCGCCGCGTGTGTGTCCAGCCTCAGGTGGGTTTCCCATCGGGGCTCGCTTCCAAGTGACCAGAGATCAGATGTTCTCTGGAATCCGCTCTTCAGATGCCAGACAAAAGCCAGGGAGGGCTGGGACACAGCTCAGCAGCTGAGGGATTTGTCCTTTAGTAGGACCTTTTGGGTTGTATCCAAGAGGTCAGAGAGCAGGAGACATCGCTCCACACACCAGACGTTGGAGAGAGAGACCTGGCGTGAAGGAAACGTGAGACATGAGTTAACTGCATGAACCTCACATTGGGATACGAGTCTGATCGTGGAGAAAGGGAAGAAGGTCAAGGAAGAAAAGAAGCAGGGAAAAGATGACCAGAGCTAGAGGGCGGGAGGATGCAGAAGAACTGCCGAAGGTGTTCGTGGGCTTCTATAGAGCGTCAGCCATGGAGAGCTACATGGCGGGGGGGGCATGAATGATTTCAGAAAAGGTTGGTAACGGTCTGATATAAAAAAGCCCAGCTTTGGCTTAGAGAGAGTCACCAAAGGGGTTGAGGGAATAATGGAAAGCTGTAGCCCAATACCGGAGGGCAGGTGAAAAAAAACACAACTGGTCAAGTATCTGTCTTGGTATCTATCTGTACCGAGACAAACTATGTCAAGGCAGGTAATCTTGCTATATTTTTGTGACAAAGATAAATTCTATGGAATAGAGAAATCATCTGTTTACAGTTATTTTAGCCTTGAGGGAAGCTCTACTGCATGCACCAATGCAAACTCAGATTGACAAATACTAACAAAGACTTATCATGAATTATTGGTACTTAAAAAAATCCAATAGCTGCTAAATCTGATCAGCCTTATAGTAGGGAAACTGAGTGGAGCCACCTTCAGGGCTCTCAGTCCGAACCCATGTTGAACCCCATGACTGCGGAGTCAGAATCCAGCCCACCAAAATTATCAACTGTATAATGTGCTTCTGAAGTAACTAACTCGGTGCTTTGGGGGTGAATACAAACCTTTTTCAGAAGAACTGCTTGTTTGGGCATCCTGTGGCTGCACGCAGGGATAGAAAGTTATTTTCTGAAGTGATCAGCAAGCCTGTGGTACGGGCTGGCAGGTCAAGGTAGGCAGCCAAATACAATACACACAAAATACACCGGGTCCTGCTGACACCGTGGCAGCGGGTTGGGGCAAGGAGAGATGGAGTGGTAGGGGAAAGGGAGGTTAACCTTAGTAATCGCCAGCAGTATAAAAACTCCTGGTTTTGAACTGCTCGGCCAATAAGTTCACTACGGAAGCCAGTATTTTGTGTCCTGTGTTTGTGCAACACCAGGCACAAGTCCTATCTGTGATAGGGACATTGAAGACCACCTTGCAAAAAAAAAAAAAAAGTAGTGAGGTGAGGATGGTGACAACCCTGATTATAGTAGCCCCTGTGCAGGGCAGGACAGCCTCCAGCAACCGGTCTTGTTTACTTTCCCCACACACCATGCCTCACTACCTGGTGTATTTTTCAACCAGATTTTAAAAAACTGAAATGGATGTCCTAAGGCTGGCCAAAATAACTATGGCATCCGAAGTCATAAACTATTTTTTCTGACATTTTTTTGTGCCTTCCTTTTTCTTTGGTTTTTTCCTTCTCTTTTCACTAGCCTTTGATCAATCTTTTTTCCTTCTCTGTGTTTTTTACAGGCATTTGGTCTTTTTTCCTTGCTTCCACCCCTTTCCTTAACTACTACACCCTGTGTTCACTCTACCCTGACAGTAATGGCAAGGCAAAGTGAAATATAGGGTATGCAAAACACTGCTTATGCCAAATCCTCATAATTATCTATTTTGCCTCCTCCTACCCCCTGCTTTTTCTATTTATGTTGCAACCTTATCTCTTGCTCTTATTGCTACATAATCATAATACTATCACCAGTGTATTGCCACCAGCTGACTGTTTAATCAGCCTGGACTGTCAGAGGTTGCCTAGTAGCAAAAGGCACTAGCTGGGGGAAGCAAAGCTCCTTCTTGCCAGGAAGAAGTCCTAAATTCTCTTGTTCTGGAGCAAAGTTGTGTGCGTGTGTGTGTGTCCCAGTGCCATTACAGTATGAACACACAATTGCATCAGTACTGGTTACCTTGGACCATTTCAATCACTCTTTGAAGTACTAGTTCAGCATAGGGAGCACAGGTTCGTCCCCCTGCAGTGACATTGCTAACTGGGATTTCCCACTTGGGTTTCAAGTTACCCCATGTGTCTGGTTCCCCAGGCCCTGGGTGAGCACCTGAGCTTTGGGTCTACTAGACCTTCTCTGGGCTTTTGCTGCAGCACCGTGCAAGCCCACCCCTTTCAGCCTTCTGCAGATAGGCACTGATGTCCCACATCGTTGCCTTCATCTAAAAAACACCTTTTCTCCCTCGGAAACACACACTTTCTTGGGGCACACCCACACGTGCATCCAGCCCTGGCTGTGCTGCTCAGCCACAACTACGAGGGCTCTTTACACCGAAAATTGGCAGGTTCCCTTGGCCGGCATGATGCAAGTTCAAAGGGCCACAGACTTTGGCTGCTTCTCAGACTGCTCTTTCCCTCCTCTGCCTTTAGCCAGTATTTGCAGAGCGGTGGCTTCCCCAGAGCTGTGTGTTTTCTGGTTTGGGCAGGGATGCCCCTTTCCACGGCAAGGAGATTGGGACAATCCTTGGCCTGCAGCTCCCTGCCCTGGATGTCCCAGAGGGTTTAAGGGAGCAATAGAGAGAAGCTTTTCTAGTAAAACCTGAAAAATTCCCAACTGAGGATTCAGTGAGTAGCTCGGGGGGTGTGTGTGATGGCGGGGAGCGGGGTGAGCCCCCCCTTACCGATATCACGTACGCATTTACCAGAGGTCTCCAGGTGCTGCATGTCTCCGTTAGGTGCCAGCCAGGCTGCGTTTCCTCGCACCCGGGTCTACACGGTGGTTGCAACATCCAGCC